GATGCTGAGGAGGAGCAGGGGGAGCCACGATTGTGAACGAGGGGTGGGAACAGCTGGGCATTGCCTCAGCGAAGTGCAAATCCCCCTGGAAACACCCCATGGCAGCAGCAGGCAAACAGGGAAGACTTTGGGGCACTCCGCGCTCCTTGTGGCATTATTCCTGCCAAAAGCAAATTGCTCCCTGTTGGCTGTTGAGGGCAGGGGGCTTTTCCCAGCACTCTCCAAAGCCCAGAGACCCCCCGAAGGAGGGGTGAGGAGTGTGAGTGGAAACCCACCCGCAAAGCTGATGCCGGGCAAGCGTGAGGAAGAAGTAGGAGTCAGTCCAGCTGGGCAGCCTGGTTACAGCCTCTTGCAATGCGCCACCACAGCCTGCCCAGCCTGGCAGGCCAGCACCCTCCGGAGAGGCAGGGTGGCTCCTGCCCTGGTCAGACGTGCAGATGAATGAGCGCCAGGATCTGTGATGTCACCATGTCAGCTACGACATCGCCACGATTCAAGCGAAGGCAGCGCCGTGCGCGGCAGTCTTGGGGCACGCGCAGCAAAGGTAAGGCGGGCGCTGGGCAGGGATGTCACGATGCAGAGCAGCCCCGGGGACGCCGATGTCACGCCCCAGGCACCGGGTGATGCGTAGGGGTCTGCTCCATTGGCAATTTTGCAGACTTTGCAGACACCGCACAACCGGGGATTGCCTGCAAAATTCACCCTCACAACAACGTACTAAAACATAAAACGCTGACTCCCCAGCGGGAGCCAGCGGCCCCTGGCCCGGCCTCGCAGCCAGGGGAGGGGCCGGCTGGCGGGGTGGCATGAAGGGCAGCAGACAAGATGGCGGCTGCCCCCAGCTCCCCCACCGGGTTCTCTCTGCCAATCAGCTGTAAAGGGCGGGGCCAGCAGGACACATCTGGGAAACGCCCCACAAAAATTTGTGTCACCGTGATGTCACTAGGTCCCTGCTGTGGAAAAGTGCTGCAAACGATACTCCCGTGCCTCCCGGGGCCTGTGATGTCATGATGCCCTGGGGATGATGATGTCATGCTGTTGTGTGGCTCTGAGCAGCCCTGGGGATGATGATGTCATACTGTTGTGTGGCTCTGAGCAGCCCTGGGAGTGATGATGTCATGCTGTTGTGTGAGGTTCACACTGTGGTTCTGAGCAGCCCTGGGGTGATGACGTCACGCTGCCGCGTGGGGCGTGACCCTCTGGCCCCAGTGGCAGGGGGAGGTGACGCGATGCCGCGGCGTAACCCCTCATGGCAGTGACGCCACCACCTCAGCGTGCGCCCCTCCCCTTTCCCCCCGCACAGCGGTCATCAGTGACGAGATGACGCGTGCAGGCGGGGGGGAGGGGAGTGCGCTGGC